TATTTTCGAAAGCATTTGTTGACCAAGTTGTAAACTCATCCCAATAATCTGCTGTGCATAATCTGTACCTTGAGCATCAACCATCATTTTTATGTGTGGTAATCCTTCGAGGAAAATAGAAATCATATTCGTAGAATTTGTTGATGATTGATATTGAAGAGCTTTGTAACAATATTCTTCTGCACAATTAATATTACCGGATTGTATGCTACCCATTACTAATAAACTATAAACAGCAACGAGAAAATCTTTATTGGTGGAAAAATATGGATTTACTAATGCTTTTTCTAAATATTTAATTGCTTGTGAAGATCTTTGATTTTGTATTAGAAAATATCCATATAGAAAATAAAAAGTAGCAAACATTCTATGAGTTGATGGATAATAAGATTTCATATATTCTAAACCCTTTTCCATAAAATTTAAAGCTTCCGATGTTTTATTTAAACGACAATATACAGTTGCCATTTGTAAATAAATAATTCCATTAAAAACATTTCCAATTGTAAAAGGTATCGAAGATATTATTTCTAATGCTTCTTCCCAATGATTAAGAGCATCATTTAATTTTTGTTCTTCGGAAAATCTATTACCTAAAATTAATAAACGGATTTTTTCATTGATGTCATTATCAAATTGTTTATTTTGTAGAAATGATTGTTGGATATTTAATAAGATTTCATTTCCTTGTTGATCGGGATCATCTAATGTATGAGGATGAGGATGAGAAGATGGCATAAACGACGTTTGTGTAGATGATTCAAATGATTGTAATGCATGTGAAAAATATTTTGATGCTAATTCTTTTTCTTCGATTCCTGTAGGACCTGCACCGAATAATGTATAGATTAATACTTTCAATTCGTTATCAATCCAGTCATTTTTTAAGAGTATTTCAAAATATCGAATACTTTTATTGGATTCACCAATAAGAAATAAAAATCCTCCGAAACAAAATAAACATATTTTATCATTCAAATTAAATGAGATTTGTTCTTGTTTAGTTTTGTTTGAAGAATAAAGAAATCGATTGAGTATATCGAATAAAAAACAAATTGATCTTTCACTAGAACGAATTATATCATAATTTGTTTTATTAATGAATTCAAGTAAATTATTATCTGAATCAATAAGTTCTTTCATTCGACATTCTTTTTTGTAGATATTGATAACAAATTCGTGTGTTAAATCAGCAAGAACAAATTTTATTAGTTCTGTAAATGATCTAAAATGGCCATGAGAAGTTGTTGTGAATAATTGTTTAAATATATAAAATGGAATTTGTTTACCAGATATTTCATATAAATGACTTTTAACTTCATTCATCAATCTGTTTACATTTTCATCTGCTTTACAATCGGTTAATTCCAAATTGACTATCATACAATAATCTGTATCCTCAATAGAAATAAACTTGAAAACAGTGGACATACCAAAGAGAATTTCTTCTTCATCTTCATAGTCACTAAATTGCTTAATGTCAGCAAATATTTGAGTTCGAGTATCATTTTTTACCTCGTCATTGATTGTAATTTGAAGCATCACAGACGTGTTCTTATCAGCGCCCAAAATAAAACCAAGAGCCACATCACGATTGACTGTTGTCGATAAAAATGTGTTCATTGCTATAAGATCACCAGATTTACTTTCACGAAATTTCTTTAATTCATTAATATGCCACAATGCTTGTCCACGATACACAGTCAATGGTCGTTTACTATACAATTTATCCTTCTGTTGTACATATAGATGTTCTAATTGGTTACTAAGATCTTTAACAAATGAATGAAATTGTATTATCAAATCACTATCCACAATTCGACATGCTTTGTTAAATGCACGATATAGAAATGAATCTCTCGTATACCATTTTATAGCTTTAGGCGATGTATACGTCGTTAAGAATTCATCAATATGTGCTTGTTTAATATTAATAGAATCACTTATATCGATTTCATTTACACGATGAGACGCTTCAATGATATTTTGATTGTCTATGGGTGAACAAGGAATGTTAAAAAGTACATCAAGCATAAATTGATGCCATAAAAATGTTTTAGTATCATCATCTTTCATATGACAAAGTGAATATTGTTCAAGATCTTGACGAAATATACTGAAAGGTATACCGGAAGAAGGATATGAGGGTAAAATATTCACTGGAGTTGGCGTGGCCATTTGATTTTATTTTACTTTGTCAATTGTTTTGAAAAAAAGAAGATATTGTCGTTAGTTTATTTTCTTTTATGTAGGTATGACAGATGAGACAAGTACGATAAGATATAGTTTTGTCTTTCATTAAAAACTACCTTTATACAATATGATAAACACCACACACACACATTATTCGTCTCTTCTTTTCTTTTTTTCTCTTTGATGTTGGTAATATAACTAGAGTCAGTGGTAAGAATTTTATTTTTGTGAATATATATTTGTCGAGTCATTCGATAATATTTACTTATGATTATTCTTATGTAGTTCTAAAGAAGAAAGCAATGAAAATATGAAGACATGATTCAGTCTCTTTTTCTCTTCGTTATTATTCAAAATATTTGCACATATTTTAAACACATTGTATTAAACGTGTCATTTAAAGAATAAAATTGCACAATTTTTTCGATAAGTTTTGACATGTATGATAAACATAGAGAATAATAATATTATTTCTTTCTTTTCTATAATTGCTTCAACGTGAATCGATTATAACAACCTTTCTATATGTACATATGTTTCTTATTGGAATAATATTTTTTCTGTTCTGTTCTAAATCATCAAAAGATATTTTTTTGTAAGAAAAAAACAAGAATATATTTGTCCTACTTTTATTGATAATATAATAACTGAATCGATTTTTTGTTAATAATTTTAGAATTAAATCTTAATGGATAAAAATGAAGAAATCTCGGATATAATTTGTGATGAGAATGATTCTCCATTAAAAGGTATTCGTTCAGGTGCAGTTCTCCGACCAGAACCACTTTTTCATCGTCGCACTCGATTAATAATTGATACACATTATAATGCTGAACATAATTTATTACGAAATGGTGTTGAAGAAATTGAATTTGAAAATTTAAAATTAATTTCATTAGATAAATTATTTGATAATAAAAATGATGTTTTTATTGGATTTGGTAAACCAAATGTTTATTTAACAATTCCAAATGAAAATTATGATCAATATATTAAATTTGCTGCATTTATCTTATGGCGTCAATTAAGTGCGATTATTCCAACAAAAGCTCGGGTTCAATCAGGTTTTATTATACGTTTTCGTGATTTATCTAAATGTCAAATAGAAAAAATTCGTCAATCAATGATAAAACATTCAAATAGTCGACATGTTTCATGTGCATATGCAAATGCATGTGTATTAAATTCAGCTGGATTTACAAGTGGTGATTACGAGTTAACAAATCATTATGGTGCACGTTCATTATTTCAACGAATTTATGAATATGGTTTAGAATTTGAAGGAATAGAAATCAAATTAGATTTTATTCGAACAACAAAATTATCACTGGAAGAACATTTTCATGAAGTAAGAAAAAAAGAATTTACAAGTTTAACTCGAACATTTAAAAAAGTTTATAATGAATGTTTATCATCAAATGATAAACAACGTGCACCATTAATTCATGTTCAAGATATTCCAATGAATCCAATTATTATATCAAATGAAAATTCTTTAACGAGATTACAAATCTCACGTCCAAAAAGAATTGGTGCTATTATAAGAAAAATTTGGGGTTCACATACATTATTTAAAGTTATTCCAAATCGTGAAAAAATTGATATTAATTCTTATCTTCCACAAACATTAAAACCATTTTCAATTCAAAATCCAGATTTATTTACAAAAATAAAAAAATATTTTCTTTTTTCTCGACCAGTTGTTACAATAATAAGAAAACAAATGGCTTCACTTTGGGATGATCACGGAGAATTTTCTTCTCAATCATTAGCATCAATGATGAGTATTAATACAAAAAATGAACCACATCCATATAATATTATTATTACTGGACATCATTTAATAGGGATGCATAATAATCCATTTTTAAATTCCAAATTAGTTGATTGGTTATTATCAAAACATGTTCTGATATCAGGTTATGATGATGATGTTAGATTTGCTGGTGAAGCTTGGATGGAACATCAAGAACAAGGTGTTATTATTCATATTAATAATAATTCAGGAACTTATAAACCTAATAATCAACAACTTATTAAAGCTTCACAATTTATATCTCATGCATTTCCCGGATTAAAAGTTCAAATACATGAAAATCAACAAATTTTATCAAAACAAAATTCAATCGACAAAGACAAAAATCAGTTTTTTACGATTAAAAATCTATTTATTATATTATTAGCATTCATCTTTTGGTTATGTTTTATTAAATTTGGTTATTTCAATTAAACATTATTTTATTACTTAGAGAAAACTATTCTCCATCGTTTTATTTCTATAAAATATATTATTTTATATCAAATTCAAAATTAGTCGAAAATTTAATTTAATTGTTTTTTTCATTGTCTCTCTTACTTAAATGAAACGAGAAAGAGGAATAATATTTATATGAATGAAAATAAAAAAAAGTGATTTAATTAGTTGAGTAAGTAGGTGCAGCTGTTGTACTGTAAAATACACCGAAACCACCAAAGAAAAATGCCAATGAAAGTAAAAAAGAAATTATAATAATAATCAATTTTGATTTTGTTGGATCATCAAATTTACAAATATTCCAATATAAATTTGGACATATGCATAAACCAGAAAGAATTCCAATAATAAAACCTCCAATATGTGCCATATAATCTATCATTGGTACGAAAACACCAACTATTAACCATCCAATAGAAAAACCTCCATCAATAATTAATCTAAACCAAGGTTTGGATAAATTTTTCCAATTACGAATCATATCGATTAGATAAACAGCAAATATTCCATATAATGCTCCAGATGCTCCTACACTAGCTAAAAATACAATATCACTAAATTTTTTTGTTCCTTATTTATGCTTATTTACTTACAAGATTTTGGAAGTCCAATTGCACTTAATAATATTCCACCAATACCTGATAAAATATATATAATACCAATACGAATTAAACCAAATTTTTTTTCTAATGGTATTCCAATGACAAGTTGGATTATTAAATTTATAACGAAATGAATTATTCCAACATGAAGAAATATTGGAATTAAAAATCGATAAATTTGATATGGAAAACCTTTGAAATTTTGTGCATTACATAAATATCGAAGACATTCTTCATAGGTACATGTTTGACTATTATATTCACAATTAATTGTTTCATTTAAATAATTTTCTTGTGTTGATTTCATACAAAGAACATATTTAGCTCCATTACGAATAAGTGTTACACTTGATGGACCAGCCATTGGATCATCAGACATTGAAGATAAACCTTTATTATCAATTATTGTATAGATAAGTAACGCCATTTCAACAATACTGATTAATATTATGAATATTGGAAGATGTCTACCAGATTCTGGACGAGTTTCATCTATGAAGAATTTTTTTAACCAAGACATTTTGATGAAATAAATGAAATTTTTTCTACGACAAATATACGTATATGAAAGAAATATGTTTTATGTAAAAATAATTCATACTTGATTCTTTTCCTGACAAAATTTTGTTCGATCTTAACTTCTATAATTTTATTGTTATGTATTTTTATTATGATGAATAATATTCTCTTTTTCTATTCTTTCCAACATACGAATAAATAAGTTGAATAAACAAAAATCATTCGTATAAGGATTCGATTTTTTAAATTTACACTGCATTTGTAAAAAAACAGAAGATAAGAAAAAAATCTAATCAATTTCTCTTATCAACAAAAGACAAACATTATAAATTCATTTCAGATTTTACTTCTTGCATGAGTAATAGAAACAACATGAAATTATTCAAAAAAAAATAATTCATCCCTATTCATTTTTTTCTCTTGAAGAGATAAATCAATAGTGGAGATGAAAACCGGATAGTAACAGATCATTGAATGGATATATATATATTTGTTCATTAATGAAAAAAATCTGTTTGATAATTATCTCTGATATACAATTCTTTTGTGATGTAACTGATGTATGTGTTGAGAAAAGATATTACACATTTTCTCATCCACATTACGAAGCTGAACAAGATTAGAAATATAGATGAGAAAGACACGAAACGATATTTGAAAATTTGAAGTCTTAGCAGTGCAACCTCACATAATAACATAGAGTATGTGATGGGTGTGGATGAGAATTCAAGATGTGTTTTCAGTTACCATTTATATCCATGGAGACTTATAAAGAAGACAATTAAATATTTAGAATAATTTTTTTTCCTACTAAAATATTATTCTAATAACTATATGAATTACTAAGAGATGAATTTATGCGATATAGACGAGATCAGATATGTCATCGTACATAAAGAAGTAAGTTGAATTCCAATGATGTTTTTTAAATAATCAACAATATGTGATTTTTGATTCGTAAAATAATATATTTCTTGATAAGTTTTCTTCAGTACCTTAAAGGTTTTCCATACAATTTTTTATTTCTATTTTTTTTTGTATATTCATATTGTATATATTTTCAATGACGATTGTTTTTGTATTACATAAATGTAAAAATAACTATTTTCTTTTTTAATTATTAATGGTATCCTCCTAATGTTGTTGTGAGAAAGTACATTTCTAAGACAATGGCGTATGTAAAAAGACGTCAGAGTTTAGACATTTACGTCATCAGTCAAGTAAATTAATTGAGAAGAAATAAAAAGAAATTGTTAATAACCGTTGTTTTCATATATTTTATTGCACAGGTAAAAAAAAGTATGTATAATTTATCTCTATCTGACGTATTTTATAATGCAAAACAAAAAAGCCAATACATTGTTTCTGATATATTTAATATCATGTGTGAATGTCAGGTATTGTCATACTTAAAATAATAATTAATTATTTTCTCTCTCTCTCTCCCTCGATGTACAACCCATATATATATTGATACATTCGTATATGTTTTCATCATTCAATAACCTAGTGATTCTTATTCTATCTGTGAATATTTATTGATTGGAATATTTTCATTAAAATGAGTGTATTCGTCAATTCTCGTCATGTTGTTTATCGTGATCCATTCGATGATTTTCATGTGACATATATTAAAAAATCTCCAAGACGTATTTATTCAATCGTCGATAAGCCTACCAGAATTGTTACTGTTAAATCAAGCCCATCTGTTCGATATCGTGTCAAAACAAGTAATCTATTTCATTCATCACCATTCAACTTTATCATCTAATCAAAATCAAATTTTTCTATAAAAACTCTCATATAATATAATCACACAAGAACTATGCATCTTTTTATTTTCAATAAATAAATACACATCAGAGTTTTGAAAAGAAAATTTCAATTTCAATCTAATAATATCTCTTAATCAAAAATCAAAGTTAAAACGATATATGATCATTGATCGACTAAAGAGATAATTTATTCATTTTAATATCTACGCCATATGGTAATTAGATAGTTTATCATCTTGTCTAAATAGAATTTCTTGCAATAAGATTTCATTTTTCATAAAAATGTGTTTGTAATCACCCACAGATAAATTTTGTTCCGCTATAGCAAATCTAAAATAAAGTCGATTAGAAAAGAGTCAAAAGTTATGATCAAATTCCTATATTTAAAATCGTGCACATAATTATAGTAAATGTTAGTATTACACTAATGCAACAGAAATTTATTTTGAAGATTCTTCTAATTATACAAATGCTGAGGTAAATGCAAATGAGGGATAAGATGAGTACTTGAATTCATCCGATCTCTAATACAAAATGCTTATAATAGTAAATAAAAAGTAAATCAACAAATGAATATATAATTCCATTGAAATACAGTTGTTTAGTTGTTATTTTTACCTATTTTATATTGATTTCTAATATGTATTAAATGTTTTTAATGTTGTTATCTTGTAAATTATACATAAAATTTAATTATTTGTTAAATAAATTATTTTATCTTCTATCGTATGTTTGGTAGATTTCGAGTTTGTATTTATATTAATAATCATAGAAAATGAACCGAATCTTAAAAGAATCTCGAATTAGAATTTTCTACGCAATTCTATCCTTTTCGTACATTCCTTTTTTCTCTCCACATGGATTCTCTATTTTTCTTTCTTTCGAAATATTATACGATAAGATAAAATTATGTGGCTAAGACAAGAAACGATGAATTACAATTCTAATAATATCGAAAACATTTCTGACTATTTATTTATATCCAAATAGTATATCGAAAATAAAAATATTTCTTATTAATTAATCATTGACTAGTTTGAACATCTAATAAATACAAAACGTACGATAAGTGCATGGAATAATCTTAGAGATTTTTATGTTTTACAAATAAATTCTAACAGATTCCATAGTTTATCTATGAAATAATTTTCTATTAATATTCATCATCATCATCTATTATTTTCTATTAAATCTTAAAAATAGAAAAAATCTATGTGAATATTGGAATAAAGATATAATCGATACAAGTGTACTTGGGTTTAAACTTAATAATTAGATTTCGTTTTTGAATAATCTATCAACTAATGTTATACTCGAATAAATCTTATTTTCTGTATAGAATATTTACTGATTGACTTCGTAGTTCAGGTGGAAAAGATAAAGTCTTTTACATGAATTATGATTATCTTTAGCTAGTTGAAAAAATTTTCTACATAAAATATTTTCAAATGATTTTAATAATCCATTCAAAGAATCGACGTTTGGTCAATGATTTGGGAGAAAAGAAATAACTATGTCTTATAAATATTTCATTATTTCGATGCATTAAGGATATCTTGAATCAAGATAGTTTTAAAATTTATTAGAAACAAAACTTTTTATTTCATATCAATTGTTCTCTACTTAAATAACATTAATTATATTTTAGAAAGTTAAAGATCATTTTTCATATATTTTATTTTAAAATGAAAATTAAGTTGGATAATCGAAAAGAAAAGAAAAGTGAACGAATTATTATTCTTCGATCTTAATTCTATAGAATGATTTATTGTTTATCTCATTATGACCTAATAAAAGTCATAGGAATATATTTCTTAAATATTTGTTTATAAAAATCAGATTTATAAAATTAAATATATTGTTTATTAGAAAAACAAAAGTCAAATAAAAAACTTTCACAGAAAAAAAATTAAAAATGTTGAATATAATATATCAAAACTAACTCAATCAAAACAAATATTAATTCAATTGATTATTAATAAAATATAAAGTTTTTGTTAAAAGAAAATTCTTTTATTTGTCATCTATTTATTTTAGAAAACAGTTTGTAAAGGTATAGATGTTCCACTAAAAAATCAAATAAAAAGAATTTTTAATATTTTAAATAAATTTAATTTTATCGTCGTGTAAAATAAATAAAGGAACCAACAGCCGCTGAACCTGTTGTTAATACACCAGCTTCTAAACCTACTTTCAATCGATAATTTTCATTTTGAAGATCTTGAATTAAATTTGTTAATGCTAATCGTTCAATTTCATCAGGTGATAGTGTTGTTGTTGCTGTAGTTGTATTTGGATTTATAGTTGATGATACATAAGGAAATGTTGCTGTTACATTTATCCAACAATCCCAATATAAACATACTGGTAAACAAGTTGTTGTTGTCGTTGATGTTGTTGCTAAAATTATATTCACATTTATATATTACTATACTGATCAATTAATAACAACTCGATTTTATATTGAAAATCTTCAACTTATTCTTCAAAAAATATTCACTACTTTTATTTATAAACAATGTCATTATTAATTATAACATATAGATTTTTCTAATTTTAATAATTTATTTTCTTTTTCAAAATGTTCAAATAATATTTCTTAGTAACTGATAATAAATAAAAGTTATTTTCATTTTTGATTTCCAAAGTAATTTTCCCTACTCTAGATTATTTCTGAAGTAGTTTTTTTATTGTAAGTTTTTCTTATCGAAAGAAGTATAATTAAATTTAACCGATATAGAAAAAATATGTATATATAGTTTATCAATAAATTATTTAATTAGAATAAATAATTTTCTTTTTTTCTCTTACTTGATTAGAATCAAATTGATTTATTTAATTTTGTATAAAACTTCATTATTCTATCGTTATAATTGTATAGTCATTGTTTAGAATTAATCAATTGAGATTTTAATCGTTTTCTTTGACTATTAAATGTAAATTTCAAACGATAATCTTGTTTCAATTAAATAATAATAATTATAATATATTTTCTCTTTTATCAATTCAATATCATTTCTATTCTAATAATAATCTTATCTTTTTCTATTTGACAAACAATGATAATGTGTGAGAAGTAAAAAAAAAGAATATTCTTTTTCTTTTTTTTTTGATCAAGGTTAGAAAGTATATTACGTCAATTTCTTTTCTTTCTTTTTTGCATGAAGAATAAATACTGCGTATATTTTTCTTTTCATTCTATGTTAAAGATGTCCATTGCGTATATTTTTTTCTTCTTCTTCTTCTTCTTGTTAATGATAAGTTAATATTACGCACATTTTTTAACTGAAATATTCTTCACATCTTGACTATGCGGTTTTAATCGACGCAAAAACATCTTTTTCTATTCTAATATTTTACGTTATTTAAATAATATCTATTTTTTTGCGTATTTCTCAACTATAAATATATGGTGAAAAATCTAGGAGAATATAACATTTTTATAAAGCTATTATATAAAAAAGTATTAACAAATAATTAATAATATGTCTACATTAAACTCATCAAATTTAAATCAACAAATTGATCAAGCTGCTAATAATCAGCAACGACAACAGGATCATCAACAGCAAAATCAAGGCGCTGGTCAAAACAATAATAATCAGCTCAATGAACGAGATGATCAAAATCTTCTTAGCCAAAAACAACAACAACAAGCTAATCAATATGCTAATGATTACAATCAACAACAACACCAAGCTGATCAAAATCAACAAGCTAATCAAGGTGCTATAAGTCAACGACAACAGCAGCAAGCTGGTCAAAATGCGAATGACCAATAACAGCAACATGATGATCAAAATCTTCTTAGCCAAAAACAACAACAACAAGCTAATCAATATGCTAATGATCAGAACCAACAACAACAGCAACAACAGAATTGTCAAAATAATAATAATCAACAAGGTAATCAAGGTGCTAACGCCCAGCAACAAAAACAAGAGGATTGTCAATCTGGTTGCGCTCAACAACATCAACAAGCTGGTCAAGGTGACAATGCTCAACAGCAACACCAAGCCAAATTTATACATTAAACATTAACTATTTTCTTTTTCGTTTCATGTTGAATATTTAATGTTTATATTTTATTTTATGGGATTCTCATGTACGTTTTTGAGATTTCAATGTAAATATTAAAATAAAATAATTATTCGATAATTTATTTCTTTTCAAATATAAAACAAAATCTTTTCTATTGGAAAACAATGTTGAAAGAAGAAATGAATTGAAATTGATATGAAACAAGAAATATTATTTAGTGTTTTTGTTATATGTGATAGTTGTGAGAACAATTTTGTATTTTCTCATGATTTTCGAATGATATCTTATATGTATATGTTGATCACAACAAACTCCAATGATAAATATTAAAACGATGAGTTTCTCAATGGGATTATTTTCTAAAGAATATATCTAAAGCATATTTTTAACATTTATTTTTCATATTTTAATCTTTAATATTGTGTAAACAGATAAATAGATATTTCGTTGATCATTTGTTTTTCTTATATAGATCTGAAAAGAGTTTTATAGATGTCGCTCATTTTCTTATGTATAGCGAGATTTTCAGTAACATTTTTATGTTTAATGACGATAATAATAGTAGTATAACATTAATACTTGTTTTTTTTTATAGTATGTGTAGAACAAAGAAGAAGAATTTCAAAATTTCGATTCAGTTTTAAATAGAAGAAAATCTTTAAGTAATTATCATCTATACTATTAAATATTAAGTTGAACAATTCAAAAGAAATTTGAAAAATTGAAATCTTTCATTTAAGATACACAAAAAATACTTCTCACCATCAATGAGATTTTATTCTTCAACAACTGACTTTTTCGTAAAAACAATGTCAATATTATATTCTTTCGCGTACATGTTCATCCTCATCTATATATTATACTTTCAACATCATGAGAACATATTGTATTATACGAAGTTAAATATTGTTCAATAAATCTTAAAAAGTATTTTATTATTTATCACAACTAAACTAGAAATTATTCATCGAGTTTTATTTATTCAATGAATTCTTTCTTTTTTATAGTAAAGATCTACTGTGTAACCTCGATTCATTTTAAACATGAGAATCATCTTTCGAACAACAAGTCAAGAAATATTTTCATAGTGTCTCTTTGTTAAAAAAATCAATAAAGATCATCGAATTTATTTTTCTTGATATAAACAAAATGATGAGAAGAAAAAAAATGAAAAAATCATGTCTATTGAAAATT